GCCCCTCTCCTAATATAAGTTACGTGTAATATATTTTTGTATGTTAATGAATACATTGAATTAACAATTTTTTTCTTTTTAAAATTTTCAATTTTAGCTTCGTTAAAATTTTCTCTCTCCACGTTTACAAATTATTCTCATATATTTTCCTTCCTTTTCTCTTTTTTATAAAAATTAAATGAAATTAAAATAAAAAAAGACATTAAATTTATTATAAATGGTTTACATTTAGGGGCAAAACTTCTCCCAGCAAGGTGATATGCTCTTTCAATTTGACCCTTGTGAGAAAAAAAAACATAATTGCATTTGATCAGTTAAAAAAAGAAAAGAAAAGGAAATTGCAAGTTTTGTCTGTGCGGAACTCTTAGGCGCGATATTCCCCTCCTTAGGCCCTCTCTCTCTCAGATCTCCATGCAAATCAACATGCTTAAAGCTAAAAGTTGGTGCATCAATTTTTATGCACCCACTTTTCCCAGATTAATCATATTTTTCATTCGTAAGTTGATCCTATTTTTTTAGTAATTTATAAATCTGTCGTTCTCATAACGTCCGAATTGGCATTATAAACTGTATTCAAACGAATATATATATATATATATATATATTTATATTATGTGTTGTGTTAAAACCATCATTGCATTAGTTTTCCTGACCATCACATGCGGGAGGAGGCGATTTGTGCAGCACTGCTTGGATAGAATAATGATGTGGCCGGTTAATTAGAACACGATTAAGAATAAATATTTTTGGGTAATAACTGGAAACTAAAATTAAAAGAATACATGCTAGTTTTCACCCTTAATATAAATACTAATTAACTTACTTATCCAGAAGATTAAAAAAAATTAATATATTTATATTTTTCATTTTTTTACCTAAATTAAGAAGTCATTATTATAAATTGATATACAATCTAATGATATATATATATATGTATTTTAAAAAAATCACGAGATATATGCTGTAATTAAATAATCTAATATTCTTATTAATCTTTCTAGATTAATTAATTAGATCTCATATTAAATAACGAGTAGTATTTTATAAAGAGTTTCCAAAAAGCAACTAATTTGGTAGTGAAATGATTACTTTAAAGCAAAAGCAATATTTAGATAGACCGAACGCACAGAATATTTAGCCTTTAATTTCACAAAATTAGGGGAAAAACACATCTTTTAGCCATAAAAAGTCAGTAGGAATCATCACCCAAAAAAAAAAGGGAAAATTGCAAAAAAAGACCTTGGAATTGCAAAAACGCAGATAGGGACCCTTGACAACTTCACTATGGGTTTTGACAACTTCAGGGCATATTATTCTTGTCAAAACCCATAGTGAAGTTGTCAAGGGTCCATATCTGCGTTTTTGCAATTCCAAGGTCTTTTTTTGCAATTTCTCCAAAAAAAAAAAGTCAGCAACGCAGGAATTTTTTTTAATGGCTAACCATGGGAATTATTATTGAATAAAAAACATGTTAAGCGATCATCAAATAACGTGGAATATACCATACATTTTAAGTATAGAATATCCGTAAAGAATGTGTTGTAAAGTTTTACAAGATTGAGGTGGCATCGGCTGAGTCGAGATCCAAAAACTTTAGTTCAATAAGGCGTACAAGATACAACTTAACAAGTGATTAAGTAATACCCCAGTCCTTAATATAAGAGTTAGTTAATTAATTTAAATAGATTAAAAAAAATATTTATATTGGTTATTTGTAATAAATAGATGTTATTTTTTAAAAAATATCATTGCTAATCAAATATATTAGTCAGAACTATCATTATTACAATGACTACTTTAAAAACAAATAAGTATATATAAGAGATAAAAAGAATTGGGATCTTATATTTAATATCAAAATAAAAACCAAATAAATTTTTATATTAATTAAGAATTGGATGCAGTAATAATTATCATATCTAACGAGAGACAAACGATTTGTATTGCACTAGTTTAAGCCATGGGCTTCTCTATTTCGTAAATGGATTTCTAAGTCCTTATAACAGTTTATTTTGTGTGGGGAAAAAAAAGTTAACAAGTAATAAACTAAAAGGTCAAAAACCCTACTATTAATTGTTCAGCCAGAGTCTTGCAACCAACTATTATCTCCGTTCTAATTATAAAAGCCAATTGACTAATTTGAGAAGATTAAAAAAGCAAAATGAGTTAGTTATTTGTCCTAAATAAGTGTTCTCTTTTCTAAAATATCATTGCTAATCAAGTGTATTGATTATAACTATTATTATTAGAAGGGTTACTTTGAAAAAAATGTATAAATACGAGAGACAAAATGGATTGGGATCTTATATTTAAGACCAAAATAAAAGTCAAATGGGACTTTATATTAGGTACCGGAGGTAGTATATATTACAAGAAAACAACGGAAAAGGAAAATAAACAAGCAAACAAGAGACGAAAGAAACGTGTATGTGTTATGCCCTAAGCATGCACATATTAGATAACTTGTAATTAAGTCATTGTTCATCGGTTTACGTCTTGCCAAATTGACATTAACGGTGGAAGACGCTTTAATTTGATAAATCTGGTGGCGTGGCTTCTTCGACTTGCAGATGCGATGATTGTTTAAAAGTTCGACTTAGTTAAATTATGTGTAATTCTAGTAATCATCTATAACAATTCAGTTATGCCCATATGCGAAATGGGAAAAAAATTGATTTAGATGGAAAAAATTAATTAAATTAGTTATCACTCAAAAACAGAAACATGGGAGGGTTAAAATCACTATTACAATTAATTTTATAATTTAAAATTATAATTAAATCAAGTGGTTGACTCTGCCTATGTGGGTGTATCAATATCAATACTAATATAATTAAAAGACAAGTGTTAAGGTACAAATTTGTTTAGGGAGTTTTCATTTAAAAATCATAGACAACTGAAAAAATTTTTGGGCGTGAATATTACCTCCTATTATTATAAATGTTACCGACCAACATAATTATTTTAATCTCACCACAAAAAAAAACATAATTATTTTAATGGATCATGTTAATTATTCTAACAGTATGAACAATATTGTTATAAATTTAAATTTTTAGAATAAATTTAGTTATTTATAGTAAATATGTATTTTTTTTTCAAAATATCATTCAAATAGAGTGTATCGGTTAGAACTGTTATTAATACAATGACTATTTAAAAAAAGATAAAGATAAAAAATAAAATAAATTAAAATTTTATATTTAAGATCAAAATAAAAATTAAATAATCTTTTATATTTAAGTAAAGGAGATACTTCTCTGGTCCTATTTATAGGACATAGAGAGAAGATATTTTTTAGTCTTATTTATAGGGTACTGAGAGAAATTTTTTAGATGGATATAGAATTTTACCCTTTATTTATTATTTTGTTAACTGTATTTATATAAGATATAATATATATTAAATAAGAATAAAATTTAAAAGTTAATAAATTTTAAATAAGAATTAATAATTTAAATTTTTTTTTATCTCACAAATATTTTAGAAGTAAAAGCAAGGATTGAAGGATAGAGAGAGAGAGAGAGAGAGAGAGAGAGAAGGAGGCAGAAGGGTTAAATGAAGTAGGTGAGACGTGAACATCCTGAAGTAAATTATGGTTCTGAGAAAAGAAATATTATTAGAGAATATCGGCCCCAACAAACTCTATTATTGCTTCTCTGACCCCTTTCAGAATCCTTCTTTTTTTTTTTTTCAAAATATAATTAAGTAAGTAATCAAGTCATGACTACTGCCAAGTGCCAAGTGTTCCTGGTATCAATAAATACGGTAACCAGAGACAGACACTCGTGGATGGTACGATCTGCACATACTTTCATTTTTACCGTCAGATTTTGTACAAATATGTACTCACATCTTTCAAAAAAGTAGTGTGAGTTTATTTTATGGATTATTATTTGTTAAATAGAGTGACTCAGGTCAGGTGAAGACTGAAGAGTGAGGCAAGAGGGATTAAAATAAGCGGGGGTGACTATTCTGAGGCATGAGGGGAGAACTGACTGCGACAGAAACTGAATACTTAGAAATTAAAAAATGCTAACATCAAAGGCCCCAGAATTGACTGCTCCTGATGATTTAAGAAATAAAATAATGGACGCGCAATTTCCAACATGCTCTGTGGAATTATGGACTTGGTACGAGGCCAATAAACGACAAAACATGGTTTCCATCAGCCCTGTGCTTTGAGACTGAGGAAAAGGGCAGGCAAAAGAAACAAGATTTGAAGGGACATGTTTAACCAAACTGTGACTCTCAGCTTCGGGATTTTCTGAGCAACCAAACAGCCAAAACGCAGGTCGTGGCCACGGGTCTCTGTCATCATAGCGTTTCGACGGAAATCTCTAGTGCCATAATTATTATGATGATTTTAATCATACGATGAGAGGAAAAAAAGTTAAAACTTAATCAGAAAATTGCTTACCGTTTTTTCTGCTTTTTGATATGATGATCGCCTGAGCGTATAAAGCAAGGAAACTGTCAAATTGAAGAAAGAAGAGAGACTCTGTCGTGTTGCAGGAGCGGGAAGATGATGAAATGTCAGAAATAAATAGGAGATGATTAATCCGTATCTAAAATATTAGAGATGCAGCATCACGCAAATAATTAATACTAGGACTTGTTAATCACTCTTGTCTGTATTATCCCAGTAATTTCCAGGGATACGGTTGTGTGATGTCAGATTGCACTGCATACAGATTCTGGGCAAGGCAAACCATTGTTCCAGATTTTAAAACAGCATCGCCCAGTTTAGTTGTTTAGAAGGCATCTTGTAATTCGTAGTCCGTCCACCTTACCTTCCGATCTTTATTTGCCGACTCGTTTTCCTTGTTTCTGAAGAAAAGAATATCAGTGAATCAAGCAAAACCCAAAGTCTACGCTATAAAATATAGACCAGCTTTGTCATTGAGATATAGTAGCATATTTTAAGTCGAGACCATCGCAAACCCAGGACACTAGCACTTTTAACAAAAAGAAAAAAAGGCAAACCCCGTAGTCAGCTATAAGCAAAGAATCGAATTATGAAATTTACTATAATCATATATCAAGTTTTATTTAATTCATTCATATCAGTAAAGTAACTTCATCCCCTTACATAAAAAGAGAAGGGATAGAACTGTTACAGCTATACCATTTTGAGCTCTCATCTTAGTTAAGAAAAAGAAGCCGAAGAAACAAAGTAAAAATCAAAACTTCATGTTCTAAGGGTTATCCAAGACTGCTGCCAAGCCAGTGACGATGTTTGCCCCAGATCGGATGCTCTTGGGCATCGGCGCCGGAGGTTTCCAACCTGCGTCCACCGTCGCCTTACCGTCTTTCCCAGAAGACTCAGGCAAAGAAAGCACAGAACCACAACGCTCATCATCAGCAGATTTCCCTTCGCCATTACTCAGCCCAAACTCGCTGCTTCCAACCAAAGGCAGATGCTTTCCCGACGTTTCTTTCATTTCGTGCGACTCAAGCTTAGTGGGTGTGGTTCGCGTGTAAGGAGAGAGCCATTTTGCTTTCATATATTCGGCTTTTCTCCATGGCGGGATGTGCATGCCCTTCTTCTTCAGGCTCTGTTTAGCTGCCTCCGATACGATAGATATGATGCTCTGCAATCGATCAGACTTGCCCACGAAAATGCAGGGCAGAGTTTGGAGAATCGTCTTGTACGTCTTAGTTGACCGAGCAATTTCAAATTCTGACCTGAAATCGATGTCTACAAGCATTCGCTCGCCCTCGATGATCACGTCAATGAATTCATATTCGCCTGTGGAAACAGTATTCATTAGAATTCTATAAGCTATGTGGAAACACAATTTGTTCTTGATTTCACTGAATTTCTTCAATAAGCGAACAATTCATCTGAAAGAAATCGATTCCCACTTCTGCCACCGAACATTAAACAATCAATGATTAACAATATTTTCCACAAAACTTGAATAAAACGACTAGTTCCTGGTGAATACCAGAGATTCATGTCAAAATCTCAGGATCAAATGATACCGAAGAGAAACGCTTTTCCCATTTGAATCGAACTTTCTCCCGTTATGGAGTACAGTTATTTTCCCCCCAAAAGAAAAAAAGAGTTCGAGTCTCCCACTTATCAAACACAGCTGAAAAAGCTTTCAATTCAAAACGATGACAAGAAATAAAGGGAGATAGTACCTGCTGGATAGGAGGAAGAATTTTCCCAGCGAGATTTGCAGATTGACGCATCATATCCCATAGCCAACAACCCATCAGATACAAGCTTTCGGCAAAAATCGTCTTTACGCTTGCAGATCTTATTCTTCTCAACTATCTTAGCAGCGTCTGCGAGCAAATTCCTTTCACAAACACTAGCACAAGCCACCAGACCCTATCCATATTAAAGAATGAAAGTAATTTAAAAATAATTTTTTATTCACAAAGATAAATCACCAACAATTTTTTTTCCCAGAAAAATGCAGAACGAGGTTCTCAGTTTAATCTCTTAGGAAAAAGGGGTACCTTCAGAATTTCAGACGCTTCAGCAGTCGAAGAATAGTTGGAGTCACCAAAACTACCGAATACGTCGGATTCATCGTCAGAGCTATCATCACCGTTTCCATGGAAGCAGTTGCAGCGGTTTCTTCCGCACCTGACGAGAGAGGATTGCTTCTCGTGATTCTCCTCGATGAAATTCTGCACCATTTTGGCCAAACACACCGAACTCGGTTCAAAATCATTGGAGTCGCTAAGAGCGTCCTTGGCTAAATGCAGCTCCTCGCCGCCGACCCTTTCCGCCGCAGAATTTCTCAGAACACCATGGAACTGGCGCTCAAAGAGTCTCTTCAATCGCGATTTGACAAGAGGCTTGGCCTGCTCAAGCCTAGGCCCCTCTGCATGTATCTGAGGATCGATCGGCTGAATTTTCATTGGAAAAGGCATGACTCGAGAGTCTCAGAATACTCTCAATTCCACTATTCCATTTGTAAACCGCTAACTGAATTTTCAATTACTCGGGAGTCAAAATACACAACTACCAAAAGCTAATCGAATCTCTAAAACACAGTAAAACCAACTTTCTCGTTTCTCCGCCTACGAGTACAAAATTTGAGGACGAAGAGAGAAACCAGACGATTCACACAAAATCAAGATGGCAAAAAAAAAAAAAAAACAATGCACTTCAGTAGAAAACTCGGGACACAGAAACTAGAGCAGGCCCTCTTTAAGTTCTCCGATTATTATATAGTTTTAATAGACCTCGGTTTTGCGGGAGATGGCTTGGAATAACTTGAAAACTCTGCTAAGTAAAGTCGCTTTTGCTTAGGGTTTCTACGAAATACGGCAAGAGCTCCGAAATAAGCGACGCCATGAAGTCAGGCGAATCCTCAGAAAATCAAGGAAAAAAGCGACGTGAAGGCACCCCATTTCCACCGGCTCGCCAAAGGCATTCTCCGACGAGTCACCGGCGACAAACGGGGACTGAAATTAGAACGTCTGTTCTCACCGGGCGCCAAGATGGCTTGTTCGCGAGGCGAGGATAAGACGAAGATCAGAGGGCGGAGAGTATTTAAAGGGAACGAACAGGCGGGGGTGGGAAAAAGATGAGCAAGGAAGAAGGGGCCACGGGCGAATCCTACGTGGCAGACGCAATGCCCGGCGGAGCGGTGTACGTGTCGATATCAGGTTGCGCCACTAAGGTAGGGACATATAATATAAAACACCGAAACTACCCTTGGCGTACTGGAACACCTGATGCTGGGGATACGGACGATTTGGGAACAGCGATCACGACGGTGGCATGGGCGAGAAGGAACAAAAATGGCACGCCCTTTTTTGGGGATTAAGCCTGTGGGATGGTTCGGTGTGACTAGAATGCCCTGGCAGTGATTGGAGAGGAATCTGAAACGGAGGAGGGCAAATGGGTCAAGTTGCAGAGTCCAGATTGTGCAGATAATGTGCAGTGCATAGTGGAGCTACACTGAAAATGTGTGGGGGAGTGTGAAGTGAAGGAAACGGTGGTCAGAGAGTGGGGAGATGGTGAGACGAAAATGCCCCCGGGAGACAGAGGACATCGGATGGTTGGTTGGTTCAGCGTCAATGTCATGTTTAAGAATCTTGAGGGATGATGTGGGGAGGTTGAAAATATGATACCTCCGGAGGTGGAAGTTGCGTGTGGAGGGGGAAGGAATGACCACGACTGTAAATGGAGCGAAAGTAGGAGGATAAATGATGGTGGGGCCCTGAAGGGTATGGATAAGTGCGGGTAGGGTAAGGTAGGGGCAGCAGACGAGGGGTACTAGGGGACTTTCGCCTCTGGAGTTCGCAGTCTGCAGAGTGGATATTGTGTGAAAGTTTGGGGTCCCAACAGCAGTTGGGGCTTTGGCCAAAAAAAAAAAAAGTGGGGGGCCCATGCTACCCGAGAGCACAGGGCTGTTTTTGGAAACTAATCCGCTTCGCTTTTTTCAAAGTATTTCTCTTTTCCAGTTAAATTAAATTAATTAAAAAGAGAGAACGTTACAAAGTGTTCCCCGTACAGTTTTGTTCTGACCTTTGAAGGGTGTTAACGTTTTCTTACCCCAAACTCAAACCATGCGATGGTGCCACGCGGGTTCAATACCTCGTCCTCGCCCGTTCGATTCGTTCTCTCCGGGGGAGTTTTTTGGAAAAATAAAAAAAGGCTCGCTTCGATATGAGCCCCGGTCCGAAGTCCACTCTCAGTTATGGTGAAACTCAAGTCACTGTCCTATTTTCGGATCACATATCCTTGAAGTCTCATATGCTATATATTTATATATATATATATATATATATATGGGTGTGTGTGACTGATAAAAATACAAATTAAACTCGCGAGAGAAGGTGAAAAAATGTGATTATCATGAAAAAAGTCAAGTTATCAATACATGAGCTAATATAAAATACTCCTCTGGTCCTTAATATATGACTTAATTATTAATTTGGTTTTGGTTTTAAATATAAGATCCATTTTTCATATTTATCAGTTTTATCTAAATTATCCATATAGATACACTCTCTCAGCTATAATTAAGTAAAAGAGGAAGAGGAGATATTGAGAAAGATGATTACGGTGTTTTAAGAAAAATGTGTCACATTTCTTATAATTAACTAACTTATCTAACTTTCTTAATCTAATCAAATTAGTTAAATAGATGCTGTATTAAGGACCAGAGGAGCATGAAATTTGTTACAAGTTTTCATCAATTAATATGATATGATATGATTTAGTACAAGATCAATCGATGTGAAATGTGTGATCACATGAATCTGCTGGGAGCGATAAGAGTAGGTAAAGTATGATGAAAGGTTTAGGTTTAAACTTTAAACCCTCATGTTGAAAAAAATATGAAAAGCAGTAAAGCAGCGTTGGCAAAAGCAGCAAGAAGACGTATTTACTGGTGTATAACAATAAAGTGTAAGGTGAGCGGGCAGAAAATAGGGGGACGTAGGGAGAAAGAGATGCTGGGAATGGGTGATTGGGGGGCGAATGAAGGAAGAGGGCCCCACGGGAGGCAGTGATGTCTTGGGGGAGCCCACGACAGAGAATGTGAGGCCCAAAACAATACTTGATCTCTAGTCTTACTCCCAGTGGCCCATGTCTAGCATATGGTCCAATTCTCTCCACACAAACACTCCCAGGCAATGCTTGTCAAGTCCTGACAAATACACCGCATCCTCTTATGAGTAGTTTATCGCGTTTGAACTTACAGTTGAAGATATTATTGCACCATGTCAAATGGAAATGAAAACATAACCCACAAACAGGGAGACTTTGTTAGTGGGCAATCTGTAAGTGATTTTTGAACTTAAAAGACAGGATGTAACCCTAATGAACCCTCCAGGACCTAACTCACCTGAACTTCTTCTTACAAAAAAATGGAATGAAAACACGTGCCAGATACAGGTGTGGTTATAACTCAGAATCACGTATTGAAATTTAAGCCAATCACTAGATTAATGGAGACAATATTTGAAGTGCCAATAAACTAAGTATAGTATAGTTGAATCAGGTCAGCACAATCGTAATTAAAATACTACCTTCAGTCTTTAATATAAGATCTTGTTTGATTCTTATTTTGGTCCTAAATATAAGACCCTAATCCATTTTGTCTCTCATATTTATATATTTTTTTCCAAGGTAGTCCTCCTAATAATAGTTGTTCTAGCCAACACACTTAATTAGCAAAGATATTTTAGGAAACACAATATCTATTTATTACAAATAACTAACCTAACTTCTTTTTTTAATCTTTTTCAAATTAGTCAACTAGCTCTTATAATTATGATCAGATGTAGTATAAAACTCAACTCAACGGTCTTGTTCAAAGCTCCTCAGAAAACTGGTTAGGAGACGAGTTTACTAGTTTGACCGATTAACTGGCTCAAAGTAGTATGCTTGGAATGGAAATAAGTCAGGTGAGGGGGAATGTTGGGTCTGGCCTGGGCTAGGGCATTGAAATGAAATGGTAGCTGCAGGGCTACGTCCCTCTGGTCCATCCCCGTATTATAGGCACCCTTCTCGCACTACGTGGTTGGCCCTCTCTCTAGTTAGTAGTTATCAATATCCGGTGTCCTTCCACCCCCCAAAAAAAAAAAAAATTGGTGCCCTTATCCTCAACCCCCGCTCGCTTGGATGATCACAGACCGTTAACCTCCTTTTTCCAGTCACCCTCCGATCCATCAAGTTTCCCAAAAGACGAAAACACCTCAAGGTACAATCACGAGCCCAGTTCCAATGATCATGACCGTGTTATTTTTAATATGCTGACTTATTAATTGTGGTCATTAGGTCGTGATGGGGGTTCAATTAATTAATATGCTGGGGCCGGTGATGTCCTAATGGGCTGGCCCAGTGGGCCAGGAGCGGCAAGGACAAAATAATACGGGGACAATTCGCGGATAAATAGCTTATGCACAATAATGAGCCCTTCACAACACATCAACTCAATCACTTATCCAGTTGGCAACTGCCCTCCTGGTTCATTCTCCATCCATTTATACTAATATCTTCTCTCTTTTAGGCCAGTCCTTTTTGTTAACATAACGTTTGAAATTAAAAAAAGAAGAAGACATTTTTCTTTATTTACTATATCCTTATATTCGACGATTTTAATTATAAAGTAAGAGAGATGATTATGGAGACAGTAGATAAGAAAGATGAAGGCGCTGTTAAAGAACTTTTAAAAAAGCTCAGGCGTACTAAATATATATTTGAAAATGGATGCTTTTTTTTTTTGGGTGAAATGAAAATGGATGCTTTAAAACATGAAAGGAGAGATAAAGGGAAATAAAAGGAGTAGTTTTATAGTGAAGTGATGCGTGTCTCCATGGTAAGAAGAAAACTGGAACGATTGACGCGTTTTGCGCTGCACGAATGGCAACAAAAGAACGAGTCGGGAGCTTGACGTTGGGGTTTTATGAGAGTGATGGGGACTGATGCTTGACTTTTTCCAATCTGTAATATGGTTCTCAAAGCATATTCCAAACAGGTTAGGTTTGGAGCATAACACAACAGGGTCATCACTAATGGGTGCTCAGCGTAGCTTGTTAGCTCTTTTTTTTTAGCCCAAAAAAAAAAAAAAATTCCTGGAAGATGAATAATTGTTCAATAAGCCTTGGGTCCACTGGTGTTAGGACCATCATTTTGAAACGTAGCAGGTTGTTTCTGCGTAATATGCCCGAGAGGAGGTAAGCCACAAGTGCTGTAAAAACAAAAATAGTAAAACTAAATAAAAAACGTGACGATTTGCTGGGAGAAGAAATGATTTTTTTTTTGGGCCCATACTCAGGGACATCCTCTGAACTCAACTCTTCATGGAGCACGCATCATGGGTCCGAGCCTGCCAACAATGTCAAAATTGTCGATTGTATTGCCTTTGGGATTTTCTTTTCTTTTCCTTTTTTTAAACAAACGTTGGTTTTGGATTTTGGACTGAGGGTACAAATGCCTCCGTAGTTTTTGACCCTTGTATCTGTATTCTTTTCCAGCTCCCAGGGACATTTTTTATCTTTTAATATCTACTGCTTTTCATATGTTGATTTCTACATTTTAAATCCATCTTCTTTAATTTTCTTAGCATGGTCATTTCCTTTTTAATCACTAAATTAATTTATTTAAATTTAATATAAACCATGTTGAAATGTATGCTAAAGAGATGAATAGATTTTAAAAAGGTAAATTTTGTAGCCACAGCGTTTTCGGTTTGACTTCGATTTCTCCTGTTTCTGACAGGGCATATATACTTTACCCCAATTCGCATCACAGCGAGGGCTTTGGGAGGCCCACGATCCGTCCGATCAGCCATAGTTTGGGCTTGACTACATGAAACCTGAAAGCTAGAGAAGGATAAGGCTTCCGCCGGTGAAAAAGCTTAACGCAAAAAAAGAATTTAGGTTTAAAAGTGTTTGTTTTGTTCTAAGAAGGGGATAGGTTTTTTTTTTTTTTTGGGGTGACACACTAGAGTATCCCTCCACTCAAATAGTAGGAAACTAATCTCTCAGGACTTGCAGAGGCCCAATTATGAGAACTATCCTCCCAAGCATGCCAGCTTGATTCCCATCTTGCAACGGAATTGAACCCGGGAGTGATAGTTAAAGGACACAAACCCTTATCTATCTGTGCCCACGTGCGTTGGTATAAGGGGATTAGTTTAGAAGAAAGGGTTGGTGAACCAATATTTAAATTTCTATCAAAAGAGTTACTCATATTTAGTACTCCTCCGGTCCTTATTATAAGACCCAATTTGACTTTTTATTTGGTCCTAATTATAAGACCCAATCCATTTTCTCTCTTATATTTATGCATTTTTTTCCAAGATAATCCTTCTAATAATGATAGTTTTAGCCAATATACTTAAATAGCAAGGATATTTTAGGAATAATAACACTTATTTATTATAAATAACCAACTTAATTTACTTCCTTAATCTCCTCAAATAAGTCAATTGAGTCTTATAATTAGGACTGGAAGAGTATCAAATAATGCCATCCTTAGGAAGATACTAGTGTCAGGGAAAAGAAGTGTTGTTCTCACTCTTTCAGCAACTGGGGCAAAAGTGGATAGCAACTCTCACATCACTTTCATGCCTTGAAGGAGGTGGCAAAGTGAAAAAGAGTGGCGACCTGCAGCCCCAATATTCAATTGCTTCGTAGCTCTTATCAAGTGCGGCCAATTGATTTTCAGTTCCAAAATTTCCCACCACCTCATGTTTCGGGTGTCAAAGGTGTGCTTGGGATGGAAGATGAGAAATGAGAAGAGATTTGAAATTGAACCTTCTTCTTTTGTTTTGTTTTTTCCCCCAAATACCGGGCTACAGAAAAAGCATGCAAAACAACACAATTAAGTCATATCAGATCTCAAAAAATCTCTGCATTCTAAAAGGGTTCATGAGCAAACTAGTCGGTGCATTTATTTGCTTCTCTGCATCAAAGGTAACCGTCCAAGGTCATATTAATAAAGTTTCTCAACCCTGATGGGGGTGGGGAGGGGAAATTGAACTTCACCTGTTCAGAGTTTTTTGACCTTGAAGCAAGAATACAAAGACATCACTTTTTCAAATATTGCTGTACTAGCACCACTTTCAGAATCAACTATTGAATTGAAGGACTCTTGCGTCATTTATGAATCAAATCCATCATCAGTAATCAATAAACGAGTTAAAACCAGTAATCTAATATAAGTTCTTTTAATAGAGTAACTTAAATGCATAAAACTTTTACAATCTTCGGCATGAAATTCATTTATTAGTATTACTATGTTTGATATATGGCTGAGAAGGTATTCGCATGTACTTGAGAATATTACCTCGGACCAATTGGTCTGAGAGGTGAAGGAGGGCACAGGGAAGGACGAGGACAACAATATGAGTCGGAAAGTTTTGCACCAACATAATGCAGTTTCCCTCTTAAGCCGACGCAGAAACAGTAATGAAGTAGGCAAAGCAGATTGCTTGAAATACTCCAACTCTGTCATAAGTTGGCAAAAACCAAAAGTTGGAATAGCGTCTGTAAATGCTGTCCATGATGCTTTTTTTTTCTCTCCCCCCTCTTCTTGTTTCAGAAGTACGGCATCTTATCATATTAGAAACAATTTGATCTCTGGTTGAATAATGATTATTACGTTATGACTTGGTGATCTCTTATATTAAGTTAATCAGTACTCTTTCACTTTGTATATTAATGTGATTTCACAAAAGTGTTTGTTTTTGAGCAAAACCCAAAGTTAGATAGAGAAAGGCTGAAAAAGGTAAAAGGCATCTATTATCCAATCTGGGGAAGGAAAGGTTGCTTGAGTCATGAGAAGAGAAGGTGTGAAGCAGATGGCAGCATAGATATGAAATGTTTAGATCATGAGACCCTTATCCCTATCAGTAGCCATCCCTCCTGTCTTGTTCCTCAGCTTCTTTGTTAGCAGCTTGAACGGACTTGAACCACAAATATCCCTGTTTTCAATATCAACTTCAATTAGCTGCAGCATTGGACCAATGTCATTCATGGCTTTCTCATTCTCAACTAATGGTCTCCGCATTTAAAATCACCAAATTACATTTCCTTTGAATTCACCCTAGCAGTGTTCATATTAAGTTGAAACTGACTATTATTTATAGGGTTTAATTTTTCTTGGATTCCAAATGAATCAAAGTAATATATAACAGATAGATAATAACGATCAATAGTACTCACCGAGAAGGGAATGCCAGTGAAGGTAAAGAATCCAAGCAGGGGAGCATAAAATACACTGTCGGATGTCAAAACTCCAAAAACTGGCCTTTGGTTCACGTACTCGAATATGGAACCAATCTGCAATTAGAAATCAAACAAAGAAAGCATATTAACGAACGACAATCATACGACAAACGAAAAACCGAAAATGCGAAGGACAAAATATATGCTACAAAATGCAAAAGCTTACAGCGGCAATGGCGGTAATAGCAGACGCCAGTAAATAGACATGGAAAGGGATGGCTAATCCTTGTTGGGAAGCATTGTTGTTGGCCTCGTCCCCAGCCCAAGGTGGGGGTTCATCTGAATCTGGTTTGGCCCACGAAGGGATTGTCTCTTCTGACTTGCTCGAATCTGCAGAGCCTTGCGTCCCACCCACCACCACAATTCTATTCGACGATTCCTCCTTCCCAAACGCTTGACGGTTCCGAATCGTAGTCCCCAGAAATATCTTTTGTTGTGGAACAACCAACAACGTTGTGTGCTGGGATAACAAACATTGCGCTCCACAACTAGGAGCGCTAATTATACTTGAATTTGGAGAAAATAAGGTCGTAGTCATGGCTTCCGTTCAGATCTTCACCACTGGAATATATCTTTACTGGGATGATCGCTCATCATGCTCTGTGTAAGTGAATGGAACTGAAAGTTGGCCGCTTCAGGAAGATGTGGAACCAATCAAACCTTATCCAGATTTTTGGGCTTTAGAGGTAGAGTAGGCCCATTTGATGGATGGGCCCGTTGGGCCCGTGTTGCTTGGGTTGAAAAGTTCTTTGAAATTGGAATGGGAAAATTTTCCCACGCAAAATTGACCGCCATTTCTACTGCAGATTCAAAACATTTGAATCATATTAGGCTATTCGCATCTGTCCGGTCCATCCCCATCTGGCATTTGGCGTGCTCTTGCTATTGACTGCCCAACCGCTCTTCTTGCTTCTTTGGCTTTTTGGCTCTCAAACTCTCAGGTAATTTCTCTTCCTGGCTAAGGTCCTCTGGTATGTTCGAGATTTCATTTTGGTGCTCACTTTCAAGATTCTCTGTAATGTGGATTTGAACTGCATCATTTCTTCATTTGCTTCTGGCATCAACATTTCTCCTTTGTTCGCACAAAAAAAGTTGAACCAGACCCTCAATTCATTGCTTCTCTTTCCTTTATAGCCCTTCTTTGTGTTCGATCTATCATTTTTAGGTGCTGAATTGCTCCCGTTTATGCACAAGTATACCGTGACCTCTCTTTTTAACGGGTTTTCATGTCTACTCTTGATTTCCCTGAAATATCTTTGCCGTGTTCTGAGGAAGAAATTGGTGTTTTCTCTTTTCTTCATTTGTTTGTTCTTTTCTATAGATCTGTACGTGTCCCCCTCGTTTCGATTTGTTTAAATATATATTTTTATTTTTACGTTCAATATTTAGGAAATGGCGGGAAAAGGAGGCAAGGGCCTTTTGGCTGCAAAAACCACGGCTGCTAACAAGGACAAGGATAAGGATAAGAAAAGGCCTGTTTCCAGGTCATCCCGTGCCGGAATCCAGGTAACCTACCTCTCCTTTACTCTGCTTTCATCTGTATTAAATTATCGTCGTGGCTACCAAGTTATCCACTGTAGCTGGGATTTTTGGATAGTTTAACGATTTGACTTTTGTCTCTAAGCGTATTGTCTTTCTCGGTGGTCTGCACTCTTTCTTGCTAGTATGTTGGTAAGATATTTTATAGAATTCATGGATCGTGGATTTGTCCTGCCTCTGCTTTTTTTGTTCGTTATTTTATTGGGCGGTGGTTTGGGTGATGGCCGAATGAGTGCCACAGTGAAGTATATTCGACTGTTTCTTGGTTTGAGTGAAAAAATTGAGGCCATTTAAGATAAGTGTTGACATACACAATGCTAATTGAACAATAAAACAATACACTTATTTTATTTTTTTAGCATCTATCTGGATTACCTATTTCCAGTATTAAATGCCTCTTGGAAACGATGGGATTATATTCGATTTTTTCTTGTTTACCATTTGTACTCTGACGTCATACATGTTTGCGGGGTTGGGGTGTAGTTTCCTGTGGGTCGTATTCATAGACAGCTGAAACAAAGGATCCAAGCAAATGGGCGTGTTGGGGCTACAGCTGCAGTTTACTTGGCCTCCATTCTTGAGTACCTGACAGCTGAGGTTCTCGAGCTTGCTGGAAACGCAAGCAAAGATCTGAAAGTGAAGAGGATCACACCTCGGCATCTGCAGCTTGCTATCAGAGGAGATGAGGAACTTGACACCCTTATTAAGGGCACCATTGCTGGTGGGGGTGTCATCCCTCATATTCACAAGTCCCTCATCAACAAGACCTCCAAAGAATGACCATCTTTGTCCTAAATTCTCAGCTTCTATGCCTGTTTTCTTATCAAGTTCGATTGTGCTCATTATGATGACTTTAGCACAGTTACTTGTAGCGTAGGCTGTTTAATTTAATCCTTTTGTCTAGAACTGAAACGGTAGTGTGTAAATGGTCATGTGATGATCTGTCCTTTAACTAGAGTTGTAATTTGTAATGCTGTTGGATGGTTTCATAGGCATTTACGTTGGCCATCGTGATTCTGTAATATGAATTCTGCTCATGCTTATGGTTGTGTTTAGAATTTCTTGGTGTTGTTATTAGTCGAGAATGTGGGACAGGCTTCTGATGCGCAGCAGAGCAACCGTCAGTTTGATAAAATTAATTTTCGTCTTAATTTTGGAGGGACATAATCATAATATTGATGTCCTATTCCAATGTGAAACAAATTTAAAGGCTTCACGTTCCTTGTGTATATATCAGTTTTTCAAAATAAAAATTAAACAGATCTAAATTATAATGTGATTCTTATAAAATAGTGATCAAAATAAGTTAACCAGGTAAGTTGGCATACTACTCCAAAGACGACCATGAGCAACTTAATTTTTTAATCTTTATCTTTATTTTTTGCTTGAAGGATTGACCTAGTTTGAGTTAAGATTTATTTTTTTTAAAAAGAAGAGGAATTTTATATGGCCAAATTTTAAAGTCCTAGTTTGTCCTATTTAAGAAAGATACTTAACTTTTTTCTCTCTCAATCTTACTCCTCTTTAATTAATTGCAATAAATTGTTAGCTTGAATTTTTGTTTTTTTTTGTTTTGGTTAGCTTGAATTTAATTCATTAATCATATTTTATTGTGATTATTAGTTTTAAAGAAGGCAAAATTAAAGAATTACATCTTTTTTTAATAAGTTTAAGGATAACAATAAGTCAATAACCCCATGTTATTTAGATGCGCCTTAATAGTAATCATCATCATCATTTTTAAGTGAATATGTTGAATGATAGAGTACTCCTCCGATCCTTAATATAAGACCTATTTAACTAATTTGATTAGATTAAGAAAGTTAGGTAAGTTAATTAATTATATAAAACGTGACACGTTTTTCCTAAAATACCATAATTATTTTTCTTAATACCTCCTCTTCCTCTCCTATTTGATTATAGTTGAGGAGTATCTGTACGGGTAATTTAGAGAAAATTGATAAATATGAAAAATAGATCTTATATTTAGAACCAAAACCAACTCAATAATTGGGTTTTATATTAAAGACCGGAGGAGTATTTAAGTTTATTTTCTTATTATTAAATAATTGACGTATATGTTATAATATTATATGTTTTTTTTTATTACGCAAATTTATCTCTTTATATTGTTGAGTATTAAATATGAGTATTTCTTTCAAACATTAGTTTGTTACATTATACATTAATTTGTCTTGTTACAGCTGGTCAGTTGGCATAGTATTATGTCTATTTCATTATCGCATCACCAGCTCGACTATGGTTCGATTGAATCATTAAAATTGTAAGCTAGTAACATTTTCTGTTCGACATCTCGTTGGGTTTTCAAACATTTTCGAACTTCATTACACAAACGAGATGTATAATTTACTCAATAATTAAAAATAAATGAAACAATAAAGTACACATTTTGGAGCACCATATAAGAACAAGAGAGCATCTAAACATCCGAACAGGCTACCACTACAGAATCTATTACACGACCCCATTGCTATATATTCTTTCCATGCACTCCTTTGTTCCAACACACACACATACCACCCCGTCATTTCATCCCCTGTTAAACTCTCTCTCTCCCCCCCCTCCCCCACCTCTCTCTCTCACACACGCAGAGCAATTGTTAAACGCAGAAATGGAAGCCAAAATTCTGACAGTGAGCAGAAATCCAGCAGTGACTGCAGCATACCGGAAGTTGAAACATAAACCAAGATATCCCTGTGTGGTTGGAGTGGTGACAAGGCCTGCGGATGGCATTAAAGAAGAAACAAGACAAACCAATGTCTACAAAGACAACTGGTTTGATCGCTTGGCTCTACATCATCTTTCTAAGAACGTTCAAAAGGCATCAGGTTCACCGTCTTCCATCCTTTTGTATGCAACACATAAGTTTCATGAATTTGGTTTTTTCCTCCTCATTCATCACTTACCTTAATCCTACGCAGGACTCTATAACAGCAAGAGTGGATATGACAGCTTGGTTGAGGCAGCCACTGTGGTTTCTCAGAAATTCAATCCTTCCCAGCAACGTGAAATTGTCATTCAAGCTCTCGACAGAAGCTTCCCAAGGCCCATACTTTCCTTTGTGAGTTCATCACCATTCTGGTCATCTTCCTGCTATGTCGATTCTCACAGATATTAGCATTGGACTAAAATGAAATATAGTGCAGGCATGTTTCTTTTTTATTTTATTCTTTCTGGGGAAAAAAGACTCTGATTGTCTTTAATGAATATGTTGTTATAAACGATTGCAGATAAGGACAGTGCTGCCGCGATCTAGATTGGCAAGGGAATATTTTGCCGCCTTCACTACTTTGTTTTTTGCTTGGTTAGTCGGGCACTGCGAGGTAAACATCTGATACGATAGCGTCGATGTTAGTTGGAATTACTCTGATGTCATAATGGAGTTAGAATCTGAATCATAATTATTAGAACCCCCTCAAGGGAACCCATAGGCAGAGCAACATGGTACACTCCGCCTTCCACTTGTGATAAGACTGGAATTTTATTGGTGATAAGTCTGTTCAAAAATATTGAAGTAAATCATTTTGGAAGCTGATTAAGATACTGGAAATTGCCGTTCTAACTAAGCAATCCGAAGCAGAAGTGTGTGTGTGTATGCCTGATACTAAGAAACCTTGAAAGCAACCCTCTTACTGTAGAAGCTGGGCTACAAAGTTTCTAATGCAACAAAAAATTTACAAATAGATTCTTGCATGGCAGCAGAGTAGTAATGAAAAGCTGGACGATAGGGAAGGAAGTCAACTCAGAAGAGCTGAAAAGAACTAGGCAATTATCTCCATTCACTGTTGGGAGTCCACTAATTAGTCTCCACAAGAACCGTGTAATTTCATTCATACATCTTGCCCCACTTGAGTTTTATTAACACATATGACACGTCAATAGATCATTCAAATGGATATGAAGAATAATATATGTGTAGTATGTCATCAACCTTCACAATAACCAACAGAACAGTAAGAGACAAACGTGGTTGAGCATAAGGATTTGCAGACTAACTAAGGAAGCGGAAGTAGTGAAATCAACTCCATATCATGCAAACACACACAACCATATAACACAATTGACTTTTGGCCAAAAATATATATATAACTTAATTGACTTGTGTATGCAACTATTTTATTTTAATATCCAACCTATGATATTGTTAAAGAATTAACCTCATTATTATTTTCACTATGAACAAGGTGAGGGAATCGGAGGTCAACGGGATAAGAGAGAAAAATGTTGTCCACATAAAAAAGTGCAGGTAACTTGACCTTTTCTCTTATATTTTAACTTCAAGTATATAACACATGATGGTCCCCAATTCACCAACCTAAGATACGTTCTGGCCTCAAACAATTTGCTTCAATGATGATGCAGCTCCAATATTGCGTTCTCTATTCCCATCATGACTATCATGATCACCATCAACATTATTGTCAAAACTAAAATGATGATTATTATTCCCATCGCCCTCATCATTTCACCTAAGCAACCTAACAATCTTCTCTCTTTTCAAATTTGTTTTAATAACAATATGTACAGGTTTTTGGAACAGACAAATTGTGTTGGGATGTGCGTGAATCTCTGCAAAATGCCATCTCAGTCATTTATAAAGGACTCCTTGGGTATGCCAGTCAACATGGTTCCAAGTGAGTATTAGCATTCAGCAACTCCTTGCATTCGCATGAGCACATTCTATTATTTCACATGGTCTTGCTTGGAAAGTCTCTGTTTAACTTCTCTGTCATGAACTTCTTTTAGCAAGAAATGGAGAAAAGTAAACAGCTTGATCCATTATGTGTTTGTTTCTCGTATTAGCAAAATGTCAATACGTTATAACCATTAAAAAAAGTCACCTATGTTACACCAAAACTAAAACTAAGGAGGAAAGGTTGATCCTGCTACAAAATTTATTCTAAGGTTTCCTTTTATGGTAACTCCCACTAAAAATATAAATAAAAGAAACATCTTTCATACTTAGGAGTACCATAGCATCCGCTAGATTGTGGGAGCCACCCTCATCATTTCGATGGAGGGTTCCACTCATATGCCACGAGGGATACAGAGTTGGGATGAGTCAGTTGAGGAAACCTACATACATTGCATGCATTTGATCAAGAAATTGACAACTCTAGTATAGCCGTAAACATCTTCAATGTGATAAATGGTACCATGCACCTTTTTTTTTTTTTTGACATCTGGTGTCTTGGCTCTAATGATTCTTTCATAGTATTCCTATCAGTTGCGTTCATCAAAAGCATTAAAATTGCATCCTATTCATAATGACATAATTGACAATAGAGCACCAGTCATTCTTCTTTCTCAAAAACCTTCCCCCTCTAATAACTTGCTGAAAAGTAGAGGACCTCTGATAATACTCCTCCGATTCTTAATATAAAACCCATTTAAATAATTTGATTAGATTAAGGAAGTTAGGTAAGTTAGTTAATTATAAGAAAAGTGACATATTTTTCCTAAAACACTATAATCATCTTTTTTAATACCCATTCTCCCTCTTCTACTTGATTATGGTTGAGGGAGTATTTATAAGGGTAATTGAGAGAAAATTGATAAATATGAGAAATGGATCTTATATTTAGGATCAAAACCAATTGAGAGAAAATTGATAAATATGAGAAATGGGTCTTATATTTAGGACCAAAACCAACTCAAGAATTGGGCCCTATATTAAGGACCGGAGGAGTAGCAGAATAGTAAGGTGAATTGCTGTGAGTGGATGATTAAATGAATGCCACTAGTTTAATAAATCTGAAGGGCCTATAATCAGTCTGAACTTTATCTGCATCTCTTAAATTGCAGATTTTGATGACATGAGTTGTGAGATGATATTTGGCGAGGATCCTCCAGCATCAACAGATGATCCAGCACTAAAGCAACCATGCTATAAACTATGTAATAACTTTATTATGACCATTTTATGTTGATTTACACTTTCTGACAGGAAAAATTGAAGCCTAGCAATCAGGCAAACTATGTAAGATGAACAAGAAAAAGGCTCTAGGATTATTATGCCTGACTAGAAACATACTATTTGAAAACCAAAGCCGCTTGTCATTTTGCTCTGCAGAAGCGACAATGGGCAAGATAAGTTTAAGAAATTAAGAGCAAAGTGTAAATCATGGCAGACGGTTGAACCTAACTCATGTCCTATGTTCTTCTTATATCATGCAGGCTCGGTAAAGAAGAAACATGGGATGAACTGCCTCAATTAATGGCGATGGTATGGAATGAGTAGCTCGTGAATGGATCGACTTTGTTTCTAAACCTTAGACTCGCCAATTTATGCATACATGTCAGAAATTTGAGATGTTCAATATCCTCTAGCTGGGTTTCAATGTTAATCAGAAAGAACGATAAGTGGCAACTGCTATCATCCACAAGAAAGAAGCACGGGATACTATTTCTCAAAATCCATAGACTGGCAAACCGCTCAAACTTAAAACTCAGTTTGGGAAACTTTTCCACTCAGACATAGGTTCGGTGGTTTATCAGTGTTTGGTACATGGAAAGACTTGTTTCCAGACTTTCGAAAAACTAGTTGTAAGATGCAAGAGCACGATAAATATGAAAAATTTAAATTTCGAGTTTTTTCTCCACCATGCGGTGGAGGTTGGATTGAGTCCGTGAAGGACATCATCAGTGTCCTTTATCTATAATTGCAAAACCAAATAGTTTTCCCTTTATAAGAAGTATTTTTTGACTCGAAAATTGTTGTAGGCTTTTAGGTCAGCAATGATAGAACAGGAGTGTCTCCCACCTTCTGTGTGGTACCAAAGCTAAGACTCGTCGGCCATCATTACTATCTCATCAAGAGAATAGTTAAGTGCTCCGCCCCACTTCGTCCCAATAAAGTTCACTTCAAAGTGGAGTTGCTTCATGATAATTATTTGAAAATCCTTTTGGAGTCATTAGAATATGTAAAAGCAGAGCAAGTGGACAAAAGTATATTTATTTATATGATAGTCAATGAGCCTTTTACCAAAACTCCTCCATGTATCGTTATAGCACATGAAAGGGGACTAAAAAATTGTTTCAGCCAAGCAACAGCAAACAGGGTGCTCTTTCCACAGCAACATTACTGGCCATGTACTGAAAAATCCTATCTCTCCACTCCTACGCCAAACCAGAAGCGAGGGGGGGACTGATCATTTGGACAACGATATAATCAAAATATGGGGTAAAATAATAATAGATTAGAACACCTTGATAATGCATGTTAGTGCCTTGCATGCATCATGGTGATGTAATAGCCGTCCTTAATGAATTGCCCAATACGAAAATTTAAACAAATGGAAGGAGTTTAGAAAGAGGAAGCGTTTGAAACGAAATCACATTAACATAAAATGCTGATCAAGTGAGCTCAGACGCAGTCACCACTGGTCCATGGAGCTCGAAAAGCAAAACGACGAATGAGAACACGGGGGGAAAGGAAAGGTTCCAACTTACGGAAATACGACGTCGTTTGACAGCTCCGTTTCATCAGCCCAGCGAAACAAAAATGGTTCGGTCCCGAGAAATAACGCCACGTAACCCCCTTTCCGTGGTCCATGTCACTTGGATAAGAGCATTAATTGTCATTAATTTTTGCCGACTGTATTAATTCTCATTAATACTCCATTGAAATCAAACACATCTCAATCCACTTATCTTCCTAAGGGCGGCAAAAGATGAAGATGTGAGTTAATTACAATTACCATCGGTTAGAAAATGAGACATCGGCTTGGTTAAGCACCGTGAAGAAATTCGTTTCTGTATTTTATTTTTAATTTTAAAATTTAATTGAACAAAACCAATAGCCAACAGGTAATCCATTTTTAGAATAAAAATGGGTTTTTTTTATGAGAGTCTAAAAAAATATTTAAATTTTAAATCATTCTTATTTAGTATACTTTAATAGTAATCGATAATATTTAAAATGGAAATAACAATATATTTTTATCGTTATTTCTATTTAAAAATTTAAAAATATTTTTTGAAAATTTTTATTCAATCCCAAATATTTTCTTTTTAGAATTTTTTATCCAATCCCAAACTCGTATTTCTTTCTCCAAATTGATTAGAAAAGAGAAGAATTATAATTAGATTTTAAAGAAATATTTAAGTAAAGAGTGGGTAATGAAAAATTTTAAAGTAGCCTAAGAAATAACTCACTTATCATTCAAACTTTTTATAATTATTTTTTTTTTCCGACCTCTTGATAATTCCCCTTTAGAAAAATCTTGTGTCTGAACTCCGACGTGGCCAGCGGTGAGAATAGGAAATAGTATTCTTCGAGCTTTCCTTCTTCCGCTCTTCTACTGCCTCCCATGTTTGTGGTTTGTGTGTGACAGGGAAGGCTGAAGTTTGTGGTTTGCGGGGCTCTTTCGCGTTCCTTTCTAGACAAGCTAGTTCCGGTAAGCTCACTTTGCGGCTAAGCCTTTTTCAGTTTTTGGTACAATTATACCCTTATACGCTCTTCGTACGCTGTTTTACTGTCTGTGGACTCAACTTAGTTCAATTTTATTTTCATTGCTCTTCCTCTCTTGTCAGATTCATTCATGGCTTCAGTAATGCTTAGTGGAGCTGAAAATCTTGCGCTCTTAAGTAGCAGAAACCCTAATAAGTTAGGTTTTATAGGGTCGGATTGGCATGGGAAGAACTTCCCAAGAGTGGGTTTTGCTAGTTCTGCTAGAGTTCCCAATTACAGGACCATAGCACCCAAGTGTAGTCTCTCGGCTTCGAGGCCTAGCTCACAGCCGAGGTTCATACAACACAAGAAAGAGGCCTTTTGGTTCTATAGATTTCTGTCTATTGTATACGACCATATCATAAATCCTGGGCATTGGACTGAGGACATGAGGGATGAGGCACTTGAACCAGCTGATCTCAGTGATAGAAATATGATAGTCGTAGATGTTGGTGGTGGCACGGGTTTTACCACATTGGGAATAGTGAAACATGTGGATGCGAAGAATGTTACGATTCTGGACCAATCACCTCATCAGCTTGCTAAGGCCAAGCAGAAGGAACCACTGAAGGAATGCAAAATAATTGAAGGTGATGCTGAGGATCTTCCTTTTCGTACTGATTACGCTGACAGATACGTATCTGCAGGAAGGTACACTTTGCAACTTCTCCAGTTGATCTTCTTTGAATTCTATGTTTACATATTCTTACTGCATTGTAAATTATTGCATTTGCCCGCATGAGTTCTATAAAAATATGTTTTTCAGTGAGCATGCTTAAGATGTGCTTTCATTTCTCAGTATTGAGTACTGGCCAGATCCACAACGAGGCATCAGGGAAGCATACAGGGTTTTGAAACTTGGAGGCAAAGCATGTATAATTGGACCAGTTTATCCTACGTTTTGGTTGTCACGCTTCTTTGCTGATGTTTGGATGCTTTTCCCTAAGGAGGAAGAGTACATTGAGTGGTTTGAAAAAGCAGGATTCAAGGATGTCCAACTGAAGCGGATTGGCCCAAAATGGTATCGCGGGGTTCGTCGTCATGGCTTAATCATGGGTTGTTCTGTCACTGGTGTTAAACCTGCATCTGGAGATTCTCCTTTGCAGGTAATTGTCATCTCAACTTCTCCATTCATGTTTATGTTTTCTTTGGGGTTTTGCTTGCAATTTCATTTTACGTAGAATCAAAGGAATTTTCTCTGTGCCTCTCTCTCTACCCACACATACATATTCACTCACAAATATTCTGTAAGGGCATCTGATCATTAGAGTTTATGTGTTGAACGTTATGAGATCAAATCACAAATTTTTGGAATCTTCTCTATTAAGCTGTAATAGTAAGCAAATTGTCATGACGATGAAGTTGAAAGTAGCTGTGGGCAAACTAATGAGATTATGATAATGTGGAAAGGTCGTAACATAAAGAATTAACCATTGATAAGTGTGGATGAAAAAAGGGAAAAAGCGGAATTTTATATCCCTTGTCTGAGGTACTGATGTAGTTGTTTCTACTAGAACTTCTGATTTAACTTCCACAGATTGTTAACTTTGATTCTGATCTCTACTTAGAAAGTGTGTGATATCCATTTTTAATGGCTTCAAGCTTCATTATACGGATACAGCTAATGTCTACAAACTATTTGCACATAATCGGACACTTTCACGAGGCTATTTCTATTGAATGTTACCTGTGGGCTTTCTGAACGAGTGCCTTTTATTTAGTTCTTTGGCATAGACTCTGGATCTCCAAGCAAGCACTCAAATTTTTTCGCCCTTATTTACCCTCCAAGGGCTGTGTCCTTTAACTAATATGCGTGACATTCGCAAATATTTAATTCCCAATGTTCATAAATAGCAAAGTGATACTAAGTTTAAATATGTTTCCATCAAAAGTCGTGTCTGGACTGCTGCGAAAATAATAGAATTTTTGTTTGAGAGCGAAATGTGTCTACTGAATGGTACTGATGATGATATTTACAATACGCAAGGCTTTATTGAAATAGGTAATTGTCAAAAAATATTAACAAAACATCAGTGTTATACTTGAGATGCTAGCTATGCCTTAATTTATTTTCTCATTATAGATTCAAATTTGTCAATGACTAGTGAAATTTGCTGATTGACCGTAGTTTCCTCTGTCAATGTGCACCCCACTTTTTTGCTTGTTTTCTTTTTATTTTGTAAAGATGCATTGAGATTAAGTTTTGCAATTTTGATGCAGCTTGGTCCAAAGGAAGAAGATGTCAAAAAGCCTGTAAATCCTTTTGTCTTCTTGATGCGGTTGATTTTGGGTGCCATGGCTGCTACATGGTTTGTATTGGTTCCTGTTTACATGTGGCTCAAAGATCAAATTGTTCCCAAAGGTCAGCCAATCTGAGACCTTGTTAGCCGAGGAACCTTGTTATATTTTCGGTGATTTTGTTCACCTTTTCGTCAAGCTAAGATGACATCTGCAGCCGAGAAACATTTTATCATACCTCACTGGTATGGTCAATTTACTGTCACATATTAGTCTCGACTAGTTAAGCTTCGATGTTGCTGCATGCCTTTGCAAGCCATGTTTTATGAGGATCAAATTGCACTCAACAGGGATTACAAATCGTGGAGTGATTGAGTAACCGGTGAACACAATAAATTGATCTTGAATATTTCTTCGAAACTGTTTTTTCGTCTCCAATGTTTTGTATTTTTTACGTCTCACTTCGATAAGAGGGAAGAAATCAACTATTTCAAACCTTTTTTTTTGTTTTTAATACCATTCAAACCATATTTGAGTGGAGATCATGATATAGACTCGCCCAGTCGTTTGAATACGTATATCCCGACCATATGTCTCTTGCTCAAATTCTGTTGTGCGATGCCTTTTGATTTTATTGTGAAAAACAAGACACTTGAAAATAAAGCTCGCCTGGGATAATGAGTAAAATATGTAAGCTACATGTTGGGGACAAAAAAATGCAAGCACTGTCGCGGAGGAAAGACGCTTCGAATAAATACTCAGGGAGTCCACAAGACAAAGCCCATCGCTCTATTAGTCTATTACAAACTTGAGAGCCCGTAAAAACAAGTCATTCATAAATTCTAAACGGCAGGGTTTAACATTTTTATATTTTATATTGATTCTTTTGGACGCCATTCGCAAATTGGTAACAAGTTAGGCAGCAGTCAGAACCTTACACATCAGGCCTACGGTCGGGGGGGGGGGGGGGAAATGGAAGCCAACCTCAAGTTCCGCTGCCACCCCTTTCCTGAGCCGTGAGCTGCGTGTGATGGGATGGTTAAGATATGAGCAATATCACAATGCTCCATGATTTTGAGATAGCTATAAACTTAAACTTGCTTCTTGACTTCAAAATCGACATGACAAAGTTAAAATACATTACCTAATGAGCAACTTGGAAGCCGAATTGTTCAATATACAACAAAACGTTACGATGAAAAACAGAAACTCAGCCTATTCCATCCCCATCATAGTTGGCGATGTAGAGCAACAGCTTAGATGGAGAAGCCTATCATCACGAAAATCCAACGACCACCGATGATTTCAGCATGAAAATGCCATATCATCCTACCTTGCCCCGGAATCAGGACTGGCCTCTCCATAGGAAACTAATCCCTTCTGTCCAGATGACGAACTAGATCTAGACCTGCTTGGGGACACAGAAGTCCTTTTATCATGACGCCTGGGTGGGGTGGCATCGGGGGATCTAGAGGGAAACAGATGATCCCTGGAATTGGACCTGGCCCTTCCTCTGTCTGGGGAGTGCCGAACACTTCGAGGGCCAAGTCGGGATTTCAATCCATCACTTATTGGAGGTCGCCTGCCGTCTGGACTGGGGCTACGTACTGGACTCTGGCTACGACCACGGTCCCTAAAACGGCCACGCACTGGACTGCGAGAGATGCTTCTACTCCGGCTTCTTCTGCTCTGATATCTATCAAAACGAATAAAAAAAAATGTTGAGTTATATATCATTAAAATGCTTACTTTATCCATGGAGGGATAATACAAATATTATCACAAGAGAAAAATGACCATGGAGGGATAATACAAATATTATCACAAGATAAAGATGACCTTGGACGGCTCCTGCGCATTGGAGGGCTCCCATAGCGTCTCTGTGGTGAACGCTCAGAGTAGTTTCTGTAGCTTGTACGCCTTCAACAAAATATAACAAATCAAAATAACCCAACGCCTTTCTATCAGTCCAGTCTAGCAAAATGCAATGGGCATACCTGTCGAAGTTCCTTCTTATATTTCTATCACCACCACGATAGGAATGGGATGACCGATCTGGAGATGGAGTACGATATCTGCGTGCAAAGGCATAGCGCTCAGTGAAGCCTCGTCCTTTTCTAATACGCTTCGGTTCACCATTTGGTGAAGGGCTTTTTGACAAGCCCCGACTATGTTTGTAGGCAGCAGGTTGGCGGGGACTGGTCAACAAAGCGCCTCCTTGGTTTTGCTCAACTAACTTCCTAGTGGGACTCATAGCATCACTTCTTCTAGGACTTGTGACTCTGATACAAATAAGATGTTCACAAAACCTCAATCAGATGCGCATTCCAATCCAAAGATGTACTAGACATTAAGAAAAATTAATGCCAAAGGTGATCATTAATTAGAAGACAAGGAAGCCAAGAAGTGAAACCTATTGTCATTAGAATCATCCTGCTTAGCAGATTTACTGAATTTGGCTTCAGTATCATGCCCATTATTCAGAAACTCAGAATTTTCTGGAGACAATTCACCTTCTTCATGTGATTGCTTGTCCTCAGATCTTCTCACCTTGGAGTCTTCCCCTTGATTTGGAGCAGTTCTAACTAAAGGAGAGCTGGGAGATTGCTTTCCTGTTTTTGTAGCGTGATCAGTTATTAGTTTTAGGCAGCATTCGTAATATAACATGTTAAGTTCACATTATTTTGTGGGAGAGATGGAGGATACATAGCAAAATTGAAAAAAGATAGTATACCTAAATTTCTTTTTTGTTTGTTGTCAGTTTTACGACCAGACACACGGCGATGAGCTCTCTCATCATCAGAACTACTGACACTACCACTAGTACTATCACTTTCGGTATCACTTGAATCTTCTGAGCTCCTGAACCAAGGAAATCAATTTAACAAAGGATGAGATCAGGCAGGTGCTTGATGTGTAAAACTAAAACAGAAAGGCCATGCTGCAGTTTAATTATATCCATACCATCGGGACTTGCGTCTTGATCGTCTATTATGCCGGCTTCTCTTTTGCTTTTGTCCTTTTCTTCTCTTCTTCCCCTGCTTGTGCCTAGATCTTTTCAGAGGTTTCCTCTTCCTATGTTTACCATAGCTAGAGGAACTTGAATCAGAAAGCGATGATTCTGACCCTGAATCTGAATCAGAGTCTGAAGAAACAGAGTCACTATCACTATGTGAGCTGTATGAATCAGATGTTGAGTGTCTGCTCCTCTTCCTCAAATCCTTGGAAGATGTTTTCCTTTTTCCTTTTGATTTTTTGTCAGAACTATCATCAGAAGTTGAGGATTCCCCAGACTTTCTCTTCTTACCTAAAATAAGAGATAGTTGCCCATTTGGTAAAGAAAAATATAAAATGCAGAATAACCAAGCTGAGGAGAGGCTTACTAGGCCACGGGAAAAAAAAAAAAAAAAGAATTGAAGAGAGGCATATTCATAAACGGTTTTCCTTATCACCACGCACCTTTCTCTTTCCCAATTTTTGGCTGAATTTTCACTTCACTCGTTTCACCACAATCAACTATTTTAACCGGCTGGACAGGTTTCCCATCTGGTGTCCCCACCAGTTCAATTTTCTTCAGAAGATCTAATCCACCGACAACTTTTCCAAAAACCACATGTTTCCTGCAATGTCACATGAAAGAAAAAAAATTAAAATTATTAACAATTCTAATCTTTAACAAAGCAAAGATCAGCAATCTAATCTCATCAGCTTGAGGGCAGCAAATACAAGAGGTCGAAGAGAACTTTGTTGAGAAAATTTCAAAAACAACAAAAGAAAACAGCTTAATTTCAAAATTTAGGTCAGAGACCCTAACAAGGGCCAGAGGTTTTACAATGAGAACAGTGTACATGATGTTTGAAAAATCAAACTTTGAAACAAATCATGCAAAGGTTATATACCCATCAAGATGTGGTTGGCGCTTGAAGGTAATAAAGAATTGGGAACCATTTGTGTTTGGACCACCATTAGCCATAGATAGAAGACCAGGTCCGTCATGCTTTAATATGAAATTTTCATCTGCAATGAGGAGGGAATGTGTACTTTTATATGATTAATCATGAAAGCACTTCAACAGCATAAGGTTTTATATAAAGCTATTTGATCTTCAGAAAAGTGAAAGTTCAAAGAACTTAAATAAAAGACTAGAGAATAGAATCATAGGATATGAATCCTCCTCCAATGGAAACTAAAATTACCAGCGAACTTTCCTCCATATATACTTTCTCCACCAGTACCTGTAAACAAGTCAAAGGTTGTTAATTATGATTCTTCAAAACAGATATGGCAGTCAATAGGGAGTCTGCATTTGCCAAAAGCGTACCATTGCCCCTTGAAAAGTCACCACCCTGTTAGGAAATTGGGACAAAAAGTGATGAATAAGCAAGTATTAGGAAATAAAAAGTAGCAGAACACTTGTAGAATAAGGACAGAAGGGCTTCAAAACTCAAAGTTAAGTTGACACCCTACTTTACAACTTTACTAACGTGTAATTTGTGAGTTAAGTGATGCACGCATGAGTCATTATTTTAGTTAGGGAGTTATAGTCGTTGGAGGGGCAGCAGCTATAAAAGGAAGCGTATGGAAAGGATTGTAAGGTGTATCTTCAGTTAATGAAAATCGACTTCAGTCATCTGCGTGCGTGCGTGTGTGTGTGTTCTCTTTCCTGATCTGTTTCTCTTCTCTTCTCTCCCTCCTCTCTTCTGAACACTATACATCAGTTACCAACACAGATTATCAGTTCTACCAGCTAACAACCAGTATAGCCACAGGCTTCTCATGCAAGATGACAAGTTTTCCATGACATAATTAGCTTATGACAATCAAAAATAAATAATCATGTCCAGCGACTGAGCCAATCTCTCAGACACCCACAGGAATCCTAGGATTGTAAGGTAAGTTCCTCAGACAATGATTACCCAACTAGCAAAAATAAAAATGTAGGGAAGTACAGCAACTGTTACCGTTTATTTTATGTTAGAGGATGAATTCGCGTCATAAAAGTCAACTTTTAACTGTTACATTGTCTAACAATTCTGGCTTACTTATGACAAGCAGATACTTGTAGATAAATTTACGCCAATTCTATATCTCCTAAGCAATTTGATGGAAAACAGCTGACTCAAGCCTTTCAAAAGATCTCTAAATGAAAGTGCAACAGAAAGGTGTAGGGAAGCTTACTTGGGCCATGAATCCTTTAATTATACGATGAAAACAAGTTCCTCTATAATGCAAAGGCTTTCCAGTTGATTTTCCAATGCCCTTCTCACCTTCAGATAAAAGACAGTTAGTCATGGTAATGGCATCCTAGAATTTAAACAACAAATTGATGTCAGAGCTTATCATCTCCCCAGAAGCCACCATTCCTAGTGTAGTAAACCTGTAATCCTTGATTATTAACCAAATAAACAGTATTTCATAAATCCAGTATACTATAATTTGCAATTTGTACCCATACGCCACATTTGCGCAGAGCAACCATATGCTAATTAGAATTTACCATGCCATGCATACAAATTAGGAAATCTTAAAGTCAATAAAAGCCTAAAGCTTTAGAAGAACATTGTCATGTCAAGATATCTTGCTTCAAAATTCAGCAGCCCAAAAATTTCTTCAGATAAAGCCCAAAGGGTCCAACATTAGATCTTTAGAATTTGTGTTGACCCATGCAATTAGAGAGAGAGAAACAAAAGCATAGCGGATAGAAGATATCATTTCATTTCTTTGAAAACGGAGGACTATCTCACACACCATTTATTAGCAAATTATAGTTTTTGACTAATATAAATTATCAAAGCAAGAGCATCTCCACCCCTGTCCCCGCCATGGGGGGGATGTGCTTTCATGTTAGCAAAATTCCAAACGGAAAACAAATAGAATGTGAAGGATAATAGTTGGGTAGGTCTGGGGATTTGATCAGGAAGTAGATGATCTTCTAACCCCATCCAAAATGGTCTACCTTGCAAAGGGCCTCCTAGGCTAAGAAGATGTTCCCACATTTGACGTTAATCAAAGGACAAGCTACCCAAGCAATAATCCAAATAAAGGATTATAACAGTAACAGACAATTACTTGTGAACAATCAAAAGATACCTGTGCAGAGTGCCCGAAAATTTTCAGCTGTCTTAGGAACAGTACTGGCAAAAAGCTGCGCCATTACAAGAGGGACATTTCCATCAATCTGAGAAATTAGGGGAAATTTCAAATATGCAGAAGAGTATGGCTCTGCTTTCCTCATTACCTCAATAACAATTCTTTCCACAGGATCCCCATCAATCGAGATGTCTAGAAACACAAGAGGGTTCTTTTTCTTACTCATATCTCCTAGCTCAAAGGATGCTTCAGAAGGATTTAGGAGAAGAAATAATCAAGAATCAGCACCAACATTTTATAAGCATAAAAGCCTATTATAAAAAGCATCCATGTTTGTGATACAGTTAAAACAGAAGGCTATTGTGAGTCAGAGGCATCAAAATTCTTATATCAACCTACAAGCGTTTGAATTCTTACTTTTGGAGCATGTTTGAATTGCACATTTAAAAACTACAGTCTCTTTCTCCTTGGCAATAAAGAATCATGCAGCCCTCATCCCTACCAAGTTCCCAATAACCATGTTGTTTTGCATTTCAATCACATTTAACAATTTTGATCATTGGATGAAATTAAAATTGAGTTGCTCTAAGGCCCTGGCAAAGAAAGTCGGATAATATCGTTCCTCTCAAAAATGGAAAAGAACTTCCTAAGATATGAAAATACAAGGAGTTGGCAGAGCCTCTTGAGATTATAAAGCTGCAAAACCCTAAACCCTAAGAATCCAACCAAACAGCATTTCAATTCCATGAAACTCCAGAATTTTATTTCCTTACAAATTTAAGTTAGAGATAATGTTTGAATATAACCCACAAAGACGCAAACCGTAATATTCATTCAAAGCAACATTTGTGCTACAGAAGGAGGAGCTGGTTATGTTCCCCACCCCCAACCCCACCCACCCAACCATCCATCAGTAAATACTGCAGAGAACTATAACAGAAAATTTCGAAGGTGAAAAACCATGAGAGGAGGTCGTTGCATCAGGCAAGGAGGATATGATTCGAAAAGAAATCACACTTCACAAGCTTATTGCAGGCGTGCTCGATAGAGAGAAATGAGAGGCGACAGGCATTATATGGATCAGCGAGAAAAATAGAGAGAAGTATACTCACTGTGGCTAGAGGGAGCAGCCACTGCTCAGTGCTCAGTGCTCAGGAAAATTGCTGGCCTACGCCGGAGAGGAAAGATGTTCTCAGAAGTGAGGAGCGAAGAAGATGAGCGGTTCTTGGGTTGGGAAAGCCATGGCCTAGCCGACCTATCGCTCGGTCCAGCCCAAAGAACCATGAGCCGGCCCAGCTCAGTTTATCGTGCCAGAAACAATTCTTCTCCTTCTTCCTCTTCTTTTCCTTCCTCTTCTTTTTTCGTCACGAGGCTAAACAATTCCTCACATTTTGGCTGCCGCATCGAAGGGGTTTCGGGGATATTGCGGTTTATCCACGAGTTTGCCAAATACATTTATTTTACTCCTCGATACTTTAATACAGGATCTAATTGTTAAACTGATTTTGGTTCTAAATATAAAATATATTTGTCATATTTATCAATTTTTTCTAAATTATCTCTATGGATACATACTCTTTCAACTATAATTAATTAGAAAAGGAAGAGAAGATATTAAGGAAGATGATTATAATGTTTTAGAAAAAACATGTCATATTTCTTATAATTAACTAACTTGCCTAACTTCCTTAATCTAATCAAATTAATTAAATAGGTCTTATATTAAGGACCAGAAGAATATTAAATATGAGGATTTGGATACATCTTATGAATAAGAAGATTTATGATAAATTTAAATATACATTGATGTTAATAACATATTACCTTTGATTCTAATTATAAGATTATTTATAGACTACAAATGAGGTCTTATAATTAAAATCGGAGGTAATATCCATCTATATATAACATACCAATTCTATCAAACCATACTATTTATAGTTACAATACTGCTCATTTCTTAGATTTTATGTGATATATGTGTCGCATTTAATATTATTTATTTTTTTTTATTTTTTAGTATTATTTTTATTTGGAATTGATATTTTTCTTTAGTATGTAAATACTAATATAAGGATAAAGTTATAAGTAATGAATGTTAGCTCGAATTATACAAAAGAAATCAAGATTAACTGAATTACAGTTAACATTTATTTTCTTAAAAATTATTTAGTGATTGTGGATCATGGTAGAAATGATCATCCGTGCCAAAAGAAATTCGCATTTCAATACCATCACTTACTTTATTAATAACGTATTACAACAATACCAGGGAATAAAGCAATAAACCGTTGTTCTTATTTACCCGGACAGTTAATTCTCCCATAAGTTGCTTGGGAGAAATATTTATTTAACGTGTCGGTGACTTTTGAGTTTGTGTAGCCTAGAAGAGATATTTAATTTGATAAGTTGCAAAGTAATTCCTGAACAAAAATATGTTTTTTAGTGAATAAAAATTTAGGTAAGTCGTGTATTAAGAACTTTTCAGATAGCATTTATAAAAGTTCTTGTGAATCCCCCACCAAACCTTAGAATTATTGGTTAGAAATAATGTACACTTTTGCTAATGAAAGCTTCTACATTTATGTACAACTTGACGCGTGCTAGGTAAAATATATGCCCCAGCTTCGAAGAAAATCAGGGGGCCAAAAACAGTGTGCAGCATACAAACAAAAGATCGCAGCCATACATATACAATATGAAGTGCAGTATTAATTTACAAGGATTGTTATTACACGCCCAGTTCTTTTCTATCATTGATTATTGACAGTTTTCTCCAATTTAAGTTGAATAAAGCTAGCAGGAGATTATTGACGTGGATTTTATGTAAAGATGTGCATATAGGAATTTCAATTACATAAATTTAACACATTTGTATTTTCAGATGCAGCCTCTTTTACTGCATTAGAAGAAGAAGAAGAAGTAGTAGTTTCCGAGGGCAGTGAGTAAAAATGATTTCAAGTAAAATGAGATTTTTAGATGTTATGATTGAGAAGGGGGGTAAATAATGCGATTGAAAGGGCCTGATTAATTATATTCTTGGGGCAACAAGTGATGTAGTGTGACAAATGATGATCAATCATGACCATGATGAGATAACTTATAAAAAAGCTTAGTGGAGCTGTAACAACCCAATATTGCCATATATATTTCAAATTGATAGCTCCATTCTCTTTTTCTTACTCTTTACCTATTTATTTGGTCTGAATTATCTTTTTCTCTATCAATTCAATGTGGTTTTTGATGGTATATTATTAGTAGGAAATCCAGAAAACCGAACTCCTGCTTTATCCCTTTTCCCCCATTATATTCTCGGCCACCATCGACTCTTTACTCTTTATCACTTCGCGTTGTAGACATATCGCATATGAAATTCATATTTTCAAAACGTGGTCATCGCATAAATATTGAAATATTACATGTTCATAAAATGTCATACCCAGAAGATGAATTCGAACCCAAAATCTTTAACAAATTTTTATAAACACAGTACTAGTGGTTTGTGTAGGCCTACGGATCGAGATTAGGGGAATCAGATGGGTAGTCTTGTTGAAAGAAGTTATCATGGATTCTCTTCCGGACCAATGAAGCTCCATGACAGGACAAGTTGGTGTAAATATGGTCACTGATGCTCAACAATATATATATATATGGCCAAAAATGGTTGTGTGTGTGTGTGAAATCATACTATATATTATCGGTTTTATAAGATTAATTTCCAACGGAGAAGCTTTAAAAAGTTCTTTGAACCAGAACTCATACTTTATATATACAGATAACACCCACACACAAAAACAGAAGGGCATGCTATTGCTAACAAGACATGGCGCTACACATTTTTTTCCCACCTCTCGATTAGGTTTTCCTTTTATTTGTGGCTTTCTCAATTTTCTAATTTTTCATCGTGAAATTTAAACTTGGTCTTCTCGTTAATTTAGTTGCCTAGCTAGCTTGCTTCGTTGATTCAGTTATTTAGAACACCACATTATGTTTTCAACTATATTAAACCTGATATTCTTGGTATAAAATCGTTGGGCCCCTAATGCAATTAAAGTTTTTTTTCCCCTCCAAATAACATGCATTCCGTTAAAAAGATGAAACTACAAAATATTAATTAATCTTTCATAATTTCATATGATCGTAGTAAAAGTAAAAATTATAATAGATCTCACGGTAAGCTTTTGATATCATATCATGCACTACTTTAATTAAACTGAATATTTTAAGTTATTCGCATGGCTGTCATCATACATGTTATCTTCGAATGATGCCCCAGTGATGCATGCCAAGGAATAATTAATTGCGCTCCACCAAAACCAACACATTATTAGTTTAATATATATTACAGAATATCGATTAGAGGCAAAGAACGACGACCATTATTGGTCCTCAAATACTGTAACAAATGGAAAGCAAGACTTCACACAAGGAGGCAAGATGAGATCTCAAAAGCACCAACCATACGTCAGTCACTGAGAGAGATTTTGTCATTCAAAACCCTAACACTCATAGCTTCACGTGCAGTCCCCAGATTCCACCCAACATATCTTCACATTACAAAAGCAAATCTTCAGATTATAACTGTCCATATTTGCTTATATCATCTCAGGATTAATTATTTGATGATCAACAAAATGGTTTCTGCTGAAGTAATAAACCGTTTTCTGGAATGTTAATAACTATATAACACGCGGTAACTTGAAATGTCTGCATCATACCAAAACAAAAGGAGGAACCAAAAAAAAAAAAAAACAAAGAAAGGAAGGAACTGATATGTATATGTACCTCTCATTTCCATGGACGAGAAACTGCCCAGACTGGGTTATATGATCAATGAATAGGAGTAGATTTGTTCGTGGTCCTACCAACAGGTGAAGCAGCCACATGATCCAATCCTTCCTTGAGACTGAGATATGACAGAGAAAAGTTTAGATCATGCTGGCAGCTTCATCTGTTACTGGTGCACGATATGTGATGTTATTTAGCAGATCAGAGAGAGGAAGCGAGAGAGGGGGAGAGAGAAACACACAAAGACGAAGAAAGAGATATGACTCTTGAATCTTTCAGTGAGGGATAGAAGGGAGGAGAGGGGGAGAGTAAAGGGATATAAATAGAGGGTTGTAAAGCTAAAGAACTGAAAAGGCAACCACATGTTAGTGATTTGGTTAATGCTAAATTAATATATTGTTCTTAATTAGGGGATGACATGTGTCAGTGTGGTCCAAACCTAAAGACAATTTAAATAGTATGATCATGACCAATATGCTTCCAACATTTCATAACAGGCACGATTGAGTGGTTCCAAGTTTATCTTGGAGTACACATCAACCAAAGAAAAAAGTGCATGTCACTAAGTTAATGGGGGACCATTTGCATGGCTTCCTAGTGACACATCATGACCATTTTTATATGATCTAAACTTTTCTCTGACATATATGCTTCGATTTCGGGTTTATTATTAATTATATGAAAAAACTATTTTTATCTGCAGATATGATGCAACAGAGGAAGGTGGTAGGAACAAAGTACTGTGAGGCTAGCTGTGATTCCGACGTAGTGTTTCTTTCGAGTTGTTGTGATGTCTTTGGCAGATCGATGCATGGAACCAATAGATGCACGCAGAGTCGTCCCCATTTAACAATATATATCAGAATGTGGAAAAACACATTGTTCCATGAGAAAAGTTCCCAATATATATTGATTTCATCATGGGGTATGCCCACTGAATCGTATCTGCTGTTGTACCAATTACTTTCTGTGCGATCATACTTTCATACTCTTCAACCATATAGAGCCATATATACATACACATATATAAGAGTACATATAGTAAAAAGATGAGTTAAGGAAATATTCAGTTTCAAATTTCAATTAAAAATCTAAAAACATGATATAATAGCATAAGTTCACACGACGTACGTTAACCACTTACTAGTTTATGGCACTTCCTTCCCCTCTTTTTTGGCCAACAGTTTATGTAATTTCTTGGAGCACGAAGTTGTAAAGCATTCCCCCCCCCCCCCAAAAAAAAACCAAAAAGAGAATAGAATTGAGAGTGAATCAAAAGAAGTATGTATGATATTCCAACAATGGATTGAAGCTGAAAGGAGAAATAGGAAATCAACTTTCATGTCTTCTACAGAATGCATGCAGTGCGGCCTCCAAACTAGCCAAGAAAGCCAGAACTCG